TAATTGCAGAAACCTCAGGGGAGGTTTCTGACATTTTCACTGACCTCCCTTGTGGTTTGAAAAATTACGCTAACCTCCCCTGAGGTTACTAATCCTTTACAAATTCAGTCCAAAGGATTAAAATATTATTTTAGGGAGTGAAATTAGAATTTTTTACCAAATTTGTCCTCTGTACTACATGTCCAATGAATGACAAAATACTATAAATCAATTAACAATTAATAAACTTTAAGGAGTATAATTTATGGGTAAACACGCATTACTCATTTAAAGTATGTTGGCCTAATCAGCAACATTCTTCAGATCCCGGTTCGAAGGGACTAACCGTCCAACCCGCGGCACCCAGGGGTGCAACCCTTCATGCTGGCCGAGCATGGTACGGTACTTTGCACTGCCATTGTGGTTAAGGAAATAAAGTTGCACCTTCGCTAATAACTATAGCTTTTGATGCAATGGTAAGCTCTTAATCCTGACAAAGTACCGGCTTTTTACGGGTATTTTACTTTCAAATATTTAATTTATGATAAATATATCAACATTTGTAAGTAAAATTAAAAAATTGTTATAGTAATATTCTTGCAAAAAGAAAATCGATAGGTTATTTATTTAATAAAAATTAAATATTTTTTTTAAAAATAAATGGCCCATAAAGTATTAGTTTTTTATAATTTTCATCCATTACACAAGTAAAGTATTCGCTCTTTATGTGCATTTTATTTTGAATCATTTAATTTATATTAAATACATAAATGTTTGTAACTAAAATTGAAAAAGTGTTATATTAATATTTTTACTGAAGAGAGATTGGTAGGTTTTGTATTTAACAAAAATTAAATATTTGAAAGTAAATACAAATATGTATTTGAGCGTAAATATTTGTATTAAATTAAATGTTTGAAAATAAAATACCCTTAATGAACCTGTACTTTAAATAGTTACCGCCTCTTTATAGGCAAACACGCATTACTCATTTAAAGTACCGGCTTTATACGAATATTTTACTTTCAAACATTTAATTTATGATAAATATATCAATATTTTTAAGTAAAATTCAAAAAGTGTTACAGTAATATTCTTGCAAAAAGAAAATCGGTAGGTTATTTATTTAATATAAATTAAATATTTTTTTAAAAAAAGAAATGGCCCATAAAGTAGTAATTATTTATGGCTTTCATCCATTGCATGAGTAAAGTATTGGTTCTTTATGAGTATTTTATTTTGAATCATTTAATTTATGTTAAATATATAAATATTTGTAACTAAAATTGAAAAAGTGTTATATTAATATTTTTACGGAAAAGAGATTGGTAGTTTTTGTATTTAACAAAAATTAAATATTTGAAAGTAAATACAAATATGTATTTGACCGTAAATATTTGTATTAAATTAAATGTTTGAAAGTAAAATATCCATAAAGAACCGGTACTTTAAATAGGTAATGCGTGTTTGCCTATAAATTATACTCTTTAAAGTTTATTAATTGTTAATTAATTTGTAATATTTTGCCATTCATTGGACATGTAGTACAAAGGACAAATTTGGTAAAAAATTCTAATTTCACTCTCTAAAATAATATTTTAATCATTTGGACTGAATTTGTAAAGGATTAGTAACTTCAGGGTAGGTTAGTGTAATTTTTTAAACCACAGGGGAGGTCAGTGAAAATGTCAGAAACCTCAGGGGAGGTTTCTGCAATTATCCCTATATTGAATGGTATCCGTCAATAGCGCAAGGAACTTTGATTTTTAATAATTCAAAAGTACTTGAAAAGCTATCTAATACCATGAGATTTCTATTCATGACTTTGATATGGTCGATAAAAGAAGGAACTTTGATTTCTTGCATTTCCTACAGATACCCTACAAATACGAAACTACAATTGCTTTAACAGTGGATTTCTTTCAAAGAAGTTTGCTGGCCGAAGCTCAAAACCACCGTGGATTCTTGGCATAACTGGAAAATCTTCTTGGCAGGGAATGTGGTGGAATCCAATCGTGTGCCAAAGCACAATGTCTTTGTTTACAATTGGTCTATTCCTGCAGGGTAACACAAATGAGAAAATAGCTAGCCATGCATTAGATTCATTGACGCAAAAAAGTACAAATTCTTCAGGACAGATTTTGCAATATATTGACTTGAACTTGCTACGAGAAGGTAAATAAATTCAATAACAAGGTTTTCCGTTAGAAAGTTAAAGCAGAGAAAAGATGCGATGCTGATTAATGTCTTCAAGAAATGAATGTAACGAAAATGATCGTGTTCCAAAATTACCTCCGCGTCCAAACTGCTAAGCCGTCATCTCCCTGGCTTCTGTCAGCATAAAACCCTCCAGCCCATCTTTCTGATTTGTTATAGCTAGTTACCCACACTTGATACTTAGTATAGGCCGCCCGAATCTGTGGATAATCATCATCAGCTAGCAGAGAAATGGCTGGCTGGCTGGGGATCAGCCGATAACCTACATGATTTCCAATCTTTGTTCTGTTATTAGGATTGACAAATAGGAGTTCAGCAGGTTCCCAACCTAGTTGAATCCGAGCATCAGTTTCCGTTTTAACTGTTTCTTTGACTACTTCCCAGTAACTCTTCCTTAGTGAAAAGTGCTTGTCCTTCACCCTTTTGGTCCTTAATTTTGCTTTCATGAAGGAATTGTTGATACTATCGACATCAAGGTCAAGATAGTATGTCAAGAAATGATCATGGTAGTTACCGACAGTATTTTCAGCCACCAGGGTCCCATAAATATCCTCAGTTATCTGGTGACTAAAGATGTAGGGCACTGGCTTCATTTCCAGCACGCCTGTAAGACTGACCTGAAATCAAGGTAAATAATATTGGCAGAAATTAGTTGCATTCATAAGGTGCGCTATGACTCTGCATATTAATTAGTCACAGTTCCAATCAAGAAAGTGACTGGAGTGGGCGGAAACAAAAATCTAAGGTTGCTTACCCCAACTTTGATGGACCCAGATTGCTGGAATTCCCAATCAAGCACATAATCATAATTTCCAACTGTTGACACCATTCTAACCACCAAATTAATTTCTTGCTGCCCTGTAATTATCTGCAAAATTAAGAAAAACTTGAACATAATTGTGAGCTTAGAGTTGTATTTACTACTAGGATTTCTAAATTTACCACTCTTCCTGGAACACCAAGTTCTGTATGCCTCCAAGCAGGATTTCCTTTGTCTTGGTCAAAAATGCAGATGGCTCTAGGGATTGAATGTGCCTTTCCATCAACCCCTGCCAAGTATCCATCCATATATACGGCATTTCCTGGACAATCAATCAGTGGAACAAGAGTGTTGGCAGAGTGGCCAAAACCAAATTCACCAACGTCCATGAAAGTCCTGTAATACCATTCAGTGGTAGGATCCATGTATGGAACAAATGTCTCTGACACATGGCCTCTATAGAGAACATCCCTGAACTTGTTTCTTCCAGCATCGAAAACAGAAGCTGTTGATATAATTAGTCCAGCCCGAGCATCAAATGCTACATGGAATTTCCAGTTTGCCCAACGGACTACATTCCCAGTGATAGTGGCATTTGTGTGTGTATCATTGCAGGTGCCAGGTTTGGGTCTCTGACCTGACGATTGGAAATCACTACCTTCAGCTCTGGGGAGCAATGATTTTTTTCTGTCAACAAACTCAATAATTTTCATCGATTCAACATCGACAAGTATGCTCATTCCTGAAATGGGCCGTGCCCAAATGTTAGTAGTTCCACCACGGTAGAAGCATGAAAGCCTAAGAAGTCTTCTAGTTACAATCTCACCAAACCAGCCTGTGGTTAATGGCAAACATGTTACTTCTGACACATTTAGTCCCCTTTTTAAGATTGAGTCTTGAAAATGAGGATCCTTGGATGGTAGTCTGCTGGCTTGGAAAAATTCCTCACTGGCAAATGGAGGGTAACCATGGCCAGTGTAGACTTGGTCACACAAGATTGAACTAGTTGATAAATCTACAATCAGGTCATGACTCTTGCTGCTAGCGCGAACCACGACCCTGGCTCGACGATAAGGGAAAGATTCATCTTTCTTATGGGAAGACAACCACTTGAGGACATGATCTTTCTCTGGTTCTTCAAGGTCAACAAAATGAAAGGTTAAATTAGGAATGGAACCAAGGTGAGACTTATGAACTATAAGCTTAATTTGGTTGATCTCAGTTGGGCTGAGGGGATCTAGGGGGTGACATATGCTTGGCCAGGATAAGGAAATCAAGATAAAGGCAAAAACTGGAAGTAGTGTAGTCATCGGATATGCTTTGTCTCCAAAATTGGTGTAAAACTGGTGCTTTCAGATCCAACTACTGTTTGCAGATAAATAATAGGGGATAGATTCTTCTTCATACCATTGAAATTAATACTTTACATGATTGAGAGATCGTGTTATTCGTCTATTTTTCTCATGAAGGATATCCCAAGTAGTCTTGGTACGCCATGTTACATTATGACACATGCCTTACTAAGCAAGCAATGTACCATCAATTGCAATTAATGTGGAATAGAAAAATAGCAAAAAGTTCTTTTCTTGCGTTCAGGGTAAGTTCTTTTCTTGTTTTCAGGGCCAAGAATACTCGATTTTCTCTGCTTTTCTGGTTATAAAGGAAAAAGTTGTTCTTCTTTTCACTTCACAGGTTCACCACTTAACGCGCAGTTCAAGAACTTGAATGGTGAAGGTGCATATGATCAGATGTGAGTTTAGGTAAGACATTTGCTAATTATGAACGGTACCTAGCTGTTGATCACTGAATTAAAATGGTCAACCACTTAAAACAAAGACGCGTAATTGCCTTGTTCCTTTTCTTATTGTCAGATTTTGATCGTTGCGGTCCATGCGGACCATGACTTGATGTAGTGCCTTCGGGTATTCTCAACCTTTTGTTTCACCAATTATTGCACGCTAAGGACCATTTCTTTTGATTTCTATTAAAGACACTACTGTCTTCACGTGATTGCACTTTCTAAAATTCTCACAGCCAACTCAAATACAAGGAGAGTCCCAAATTTCCAGTTACAGCTGGACTTTATTGCCATATTCCATAATGAAAGACATGATTAAACAGCTCCAGTTCAATGCTGAATTAAGCAAATATGAGAGAAACTACTAGATCATGGGCTGAGCTCAATTTGTACAGTTAAAACCATGTTGGCATTCTTTGCTGCATTTAAGCTGCTCAACTTTTCCAAGCGATTTCACTTTAAGTACTGGATTATGCTCAAAGAAATTTGCAGGCCTGAGCTCAAACCCGTTGTTGACAGTGGGCATGATTGGAAAGTCTTCCTGGATTGGGACATGGTGAAGGCCTAGTGTATACCACAGTACAATGTCCTTGTTCTCAATTTCTCTATTCCTGCAAAAACTTAATAGGATGATCTAGTTATGCAACTAATCTGACAGTTAATAAACTACTCGAAGAAAGTCAGAAGTAAAGCATTACCTGAGGCTCCATACAGCTAAGTTGTCATCTCCTTGGCTCTGATCAACGAATGTTCCTCCTGCCCATTTCTCAGATTTATTGTATGGTGTTACCCAGACGTTGTACTTTGCGAAACCAGCACGAATGCTTGGGTAATCATCATTTGACAATAGATTATGTACAAATGACCCAGGAAGCAAACGGTATCCCACGTAGTTCCCCATCTTAGTTTTCTTGTTAGGATTCACTACTAACAGCTCTGCTGCACCTGAGCCCAGATTAATCCTTGCATCAGACTCAGTTTTAGCAGTTTCACTAACTGCTGTCCAGTAACTCCTCCTAGGAGACTTCTTGTCCATCACACGTCTTGTTTGCAACTTTGTCTTGATAAACGAATTATCATAACCATCCACATCTAGGTCAAGATGGAAATTCAGGAAATGATCGTGATAAGTTCCAACAGTATTTTGTGATACTAATGTGCCATAAACTTCGTCCCTTATCTGGTCCTTGTGGATGTATGTTGATGCTTTTATCTCCAGCAATCCTGACAATCCAATCTGTCCAGATAAAGCATTGGATCAGAACATATAAAAGAATTCCTGCAAACTGCTTGGTGCTTCAAGAGTGATCTTTTAGCACATTTCTGGTAGCTAGATTCAGAACTACTTTGTACCAAAAGAGAAAAGGTAAAAGGATTTCTGACTAACGTTGGAATACTGTAATTTAATATCAAATGTGCTCTTTCTAACTCTCATGACTTACATTGACTTTAATTGAGCCAGCTTGCCTGAATTCCCAGTCAACAATGTAGTCATAGTTGCCTATAATTGACACCATTCTCACCACCAAGCTCACATCAGGTCTAACCTCTGTATACTGCAGAATGATCCCATTTTCAGTCAATTATGCAAGTCTTTAGCAAGGATAGTAGAGCACATGTAGCTTTCTGAATTGGAGAGAACATTCACATCAGAGAATCTGCTTACCACTTTGCCTGGAATGGCAGTTTCAGTATGGCGCCATAGTACATCTCCACCATAACGTTCAAAAACACAGATTACGTTATGAATTTTTGTGGGAGTTCCATTCTGTGAAATGTAGTAGCCATCAAGGAATGCTGCATTTTCAGGACAGTCTTTGGATGGAAAAAGTGATGTTGCACATAGACCAAACCCAAATTCACCGGCATCAAAATATGTCCTATAGTACCATTCTTCAGTAATGTCCATATATGGCACAAAGAGCTCTGAGACGAACCCTCTATACAGCACATCACGATATGCATCTTTATCATGGTCACGTACTGAAGCCAGTGATATAATTGGACCTACTCGCATGTCAAAAGCTAGATGGAATTTCCAGTCGGCCCATCTAGCATGAGATGAAATGTTATTTGTCAGAGCATAGATATTGTGGAATCTATATGTTTGCGGATCATAACTATCAAGTTCAATGAGCATGTATGAGGATTTGACCCAGTGCAACTAATTGAAGGAAATCTATGAATTTCACGGAAATGAATATCAAAACTACAGCAAATCCCTAGGATTTTTCACTCAAAATCAACAAGAAATCACCTGCAGATCATGTTATGCAGACCTTCCTTTAATTTCTCTTTCTGCAGGTTAAAATGATCTATAAAAAGAGTTATGGCTGACTACTATTATCAGTTTCTACCTGTCAGTGTGAAAAATTTTAACTATTTCTCGATGTTAACATTCTTAATCCTAAACTTGCTGCTACTTTTTCAAGGAATGGAACCATACCTAACAATATGTCCATCAATGGTAAAACTTGGACCATGTGGCTGCAACATTGTTATTGGTTTTATAGGTGAACTAACAGGCTGCTTCTGCTTCACTTCTCTGTAATCTGTCCCATCAGCTTTTGGTACTGGAACAATCGCTCTATCCTGATACCCCGTAATCTTCATTTGATCAAGATCAACAGTGACTGTAATACCCTCTATAGGTCTCATGTACAGATTAATTGTGCCATCCAAATAATAACACGTAACTCTGATAATTCTTTTAGTCTTTTTATCTCCAAACCATCCAATTGTGTAACTTTGGCATACAACCTCTTCTTTCTTGAGCCCTCTCTTCTCAATTGATTTTATAAATGGTGAATAACTAAATGGTAATTTGTTGGCAGCAGTTTGCTCATCGAGAGTCAGCAAAGGGTAGCCATGCCCATCATGCACCTTGTTGGAGATGATTGCAGAAGCTGTCAAGTCAACAATGATTTCGTGGTTTTGTTGGTTAATTCGTGCGAGAACAAAGGCTTGGCGACGTGGGACTTTTGCATTGTCATCTATCCATGCTAGGACAATTGGTTTATCTGGTTCAGCCAAGCCGACATAATGGTAGCTAAGATTGTGGCAGCTGGTTGAGCAAATTGTGCTCTTCAGTATTGTATGGACCTGTGTGAGCTCAGATGTAGAAAGGGCATCTAGTGGGTGCAATTGATGGCTAGAAATCAGGGAATGAGTGGAGAAAATGCAGATCAAGAAGAGGAGAACATTGAGGCCTGAAGACATTGGTGCTGCTTTAAGTTGGAAAATGAATGCCATCATCTCTACCAACCTAAAACCATATATATAATCTGCCGCATTCGTTTTTCAGTTGATATGACATTGATCTATGCTCGTTTTTGAGTGGTGCCAGTGGATTTGAAATCTATCATTGATGACAGTGTAAAGATTAGGTGATAAGGTCCAGGACCCAATTAGGCTTCAGTAGTCAAATACAGAATCAAGCTTAGATGGCTCTTTGGCAACTCTACATAGCACGAGGCAAATTTCAACACACGACAAAATGATCAACCAATTACTTGGAGAACAGAAGATATTTTTAAGTTACAAACTCAAGAGTAAACTGTTTGAATGGTGCTGGTATCTCATTATAACTGCAACATGTATACTAAACAAAAATCAAGATCAGCTGCGGCTACTTGAATGATCACATGATAGGCATTATACATTAGTATCCTTCACGCGGTCAACAATAACTGCAACTAAGGAAAATGGGAAAAAATCAGTATATGTACGTAAATTACACTTGGAACTTAGTAGGTGTTTGCAGTTTTCTAAAGTTGTGCGAACTCTGAATGCTATCCGTATAGAACAAAACTCAATAGGGAGTCAAAACAATGTAAAAGAACTTTTATGCACGTACAGCTTCAATTGAAAATGTTATATCCACTTTTCACTCTCACTCCGCTACAAGTAAGTTGTTGGAAGATTTTTTTTTTCAGACTACTGGAAAGGAAGGAATTATCTGGACCACCGCACTTGAGGTAGCCACTGAATGCCCCACAAAAAAATGTTGAGAAGAGCAAGGAACCGGAAAAAAAAAAAGAAAAAAGAAAAAAGGATGCACTGAAAAGAAGAAAACAGGTTTGGTGCGCGAAGAGGGTGATTGCAAGCTTAGAAGGAATATAGATTCAACAAACAAAGAAACCAGGAAGCTGCCACCATTTACCAGTGATAACGCTCCTTTAATGGAATACGTCGTTTGTCTTAAGATTGCAGTTTGTCAGCCAAAATCATCATTAAAGTTGCACGTCCTGTGATAATGGTTCCTTTATTGGAATACTTCAAATGCATTATAAACCAACCTGGGATTAATCCAAGGTGTGCTAGCAATTTTTATAGGAATATACTGAATCTATCACTTGGATTCAAAATGACTGAACAAGGGATCCTACTTGGAGATTATCTTAATCTATATCTTGCGTCCTTGAAGTTGTACCATCCTCGTTTATTTCTGATCAAGGCACTGTCTTTATTTCATTGTACATTCTAAAACTTCTCAAAATGTTTGAGCTATCACTCAAGTTCAACTTACAGCTGAATCCAGTTCGTTCCACTCAAAGAAATTATCAGCACCTTAGCAGTTCTTTGCTAAAGTGAACCAATATGAGAAACCATCAAACTATGCAAGGGGATCAATATCTGCAGTTAAATTGTGTCGGCATTCCTTGCAGCATTTAAGCCACTTGACTTTTGCAAGCTGTTTTACTTTGAGTACAGGGTTATGCTCAAAGAAATTTGTAGGCCTGAGCTCAAATCCATTGTTAATAGTGGGCATGACTGGAAAATCTTCCTGGTAAGGTACATGGTGAAAGCCTAGTGTATACCATATTACAATGTCCTTGTTCTCTATTTCTCTATTCCTGCAAAAACTTAATAAGATGATTTAGTTATGCAATTAATTTATTAGTCCATAAGGAACTCAAAAAGGTTGAAACGCAACAGTACCTGAGGCTCCATACAGCTAAGTTGTCATCTCCTCGGCTTTGATCAGCATATGTTCCTCCTGCCCATTTCTCTGATTTATTGTACGGTGTCACCCAAACATTGTACTTAGTGAAACCAGCACGAACTTCTGGGTAATCATCATCAGATAGTAAGGTATTAACAACTGATCCAGGAAGCAACCGGTATCCCACGTAGTTCCCCATCTCAGTTTTCTTATTAGGATTCACTACTAACAGCTCTGCTGCACCTGAGCCAAGATTAATCCTTGCATCAGACTCGGTCTTAGCAGTTTCACTAACCACTGTCCAGTAACTCCTCCTGGGAGACCTCTTGTCCATCACAGCTGTTGTTTGTAATTTTGTCTTCACAAAGGAATTAGCAGGATTATCCACATCTAGGTCAAGATGGAAATTCAGGAAATGATCATGATATGATCCTAATGTGTTTTCTGCTAACAGTGTGCCATAAACTTCCTCCCCTATCTGATCCTTGTACGTGTATGCTGCTGCCCTCACCTCTAGCAATCCCGTTAGTCCAATCTGTCAAAACAATATCAAATAACTTGTAAAGAGTTCACGCAATGGACCAAATGGTCAGTGCATCATTAAATTTTTTTTTTTTATCACATTGACTGTACAACTAGAGGAAGAGTTCTGATGCAAGTTCTAGCCATTAAAAACTTGATGTGCTAAGCGCTCTTTTTAAATTCTGTAACTTACATTAACTTTAATAGTGCCAGTTTGTCTGAATTCCCAATCAACAATGTAGTCATAGTTGCCTTCAGCTGACACCATTCTCACTATCAGGCTCACCTCTGGTCTAACCTCTGTAAACTGCAGAACCCAGTTTGCGGTTAACTGGTAAAACACAAGTAGCTTTTGAAATGGATAGAATAATCACATTGGAAAATTACTCACAACTTTTACTGGAATTGCGCCCTCAGTGTGCCGCCATAGTATATCTCCGGCATAACGCTCAAAGATACAGATTATGTTGGGAAGTTTTATTGGTGTTCCATCCTGTGACATGGAGTAGCCATCAAGGAATACTGCATTTTCAGGACAGTCTGACGATGGTAAAAGAGGTGCTGCACATAGACCGAACCCATATTCACCAGAATCAAAATATGTCCTATAGTACCATTCTTCAGTCAGGTCCATATATGGTACAAATAGCTCGGAGATGAATCCTCTATACATCACGCTACGATATTCATCCTTCTCAAGATCATATATGAAGCCAATGATAAGATTGGACCAACTCGCATGTCAAAATCTAGATGGAATTTCCAATCAGCCCAACTAATATTCACCACAGAAATTAAAAATGTTATTCATCATTAGCAAATCCTAAATCATTATGAACCATTCAGTAATTACAAGAATTCATACCACTAAGACTAATATGAAGTTCAATGAGCAGATATGAAATCCTGCGTGAGTGCAACTCAATCGAAGGAAAAGCAGTATTTTCATGGACAGACTATCCAAAGTATAACAAAAATCAAGGACTTGTTAGTTGTTATACTAAAATCATTAGAACATGACTTTTACAGAAAAGTTACGGTGACCTTCACCTTCCTCTCCTATTTTGAGTAACATGACATCTATGCTATGATTAACACTAACATTCTACGAGTCATTATGTATGTGAGGTGTAAGGGGTAGGGGGACAGTGGGAATGAACATGCTCGGCAAATTGTCATTGTTTTCTATAATTTTATTCTGTGCTAGCATTTTCAATCCTGAACTTGCTGCAACATTTTCAATGAATGGTAAGCATACCTAACTGTATTTCCATATACAGTGAAAATTAAATTTTCTTAAGTTAAGTAAAATATCATCTACATTATCACTGAGATACAAGTTATGATTAGTTTCCACTGTGCGTGCGTGTTTGCTGTGGCCTTGGGGAAATGGTCAGGTGGAGTGCGTGATGTTCTAACAAAAAATGCAATTGTTTCATATGCTAATGATGTTAATAACTCGCTGCTACTCTTTTAAGTAAGGTAAGCATACCTCACCACATGTCCTTCTATGTTAAAACTTGGACCATGTGGCTGCAACATTGTTATTGGTTTTATAGGTGAACTAACAGGCTGCTTCTGCTTCACTTCTCTGTAATCTGTCCCCTCAGCTTTTGGCACTGGAACAATCAACCTGTCTCTGTAACCAATAATCTTCATCTCATCCAGATCAACAGTCAAGGTAATCCCCTCTATAGGTCTCATATACAAATTTATTGTGCCATCCAAATAGTAACACATTTCTCTGACAATCCTTTTAGTCTTTTGCTCTCCAAACCATCCAATGGTGAAGCTTTGACATATAACTTCTTCTGACTTGAGCCCCCTTTTCTTAATCGATGCTATGAAAGGTGCATAAGTAAGTGGCAACCGCTTAGCAGCAGTTTGTTCAGCAAAGTTCAGCAAAGGGTAGCCATGGCCATCATGGACCTTGTTAGAGATAATTGCAGAAGCATTCAAATCAACTATGAGGTCATGGTTCTTAAAGTTAATTCTTGCAAGAACAAAGGCTTGCCGAGGTGGAACTTTTGTGGAGTCTTTGTCAGACAGCCATGAGAGGACGATTGGTTTATCTGGCTCATGTAAGCCAACATAGTGGAAGCTAAGACTTTGGCAGCTGGTTGAGCAAATTGAGTTGTTCACTATAGTTTGGACTTGAGTGAGCTCAGATGCAGTGAGGGAATCTAATGGATGGATTTCATGATCTGAGCTAAGACAAAGAGCGGAGAAGAAGCATAGGAAGATGAGCACACGAGTCAAAAGAGTTGAATACATTGCATTGGCACGGAACCGATCGAGTGGCAAAACCAAGGCCATCATATATTGGCAAAGAATTGGTTCTCTTTTTTGGATACTTCCAGTTTTTAAAAAACTAATTTTTTAAATTTTAATTTTTAAAAATACTCTAAAAGATAGTTTAAATTTTTTTTAATATTTAAAAAATATCTTAAAATATATTTTAAAAACTCTACTACTCTTAAATATTTCAAAATATTTTTTTAAAATATCCCAAAATATACTCTAAAAACTTTTAGTTACAATAAAATTTTTTAAAAATATTCTCAAAAATAACTAATCCAAACAGAACAGTTTATTTTATGATTAGCAGGCTGCAGGCTGTCCATGAATGCTTCGGATGCGGGAGGAACAGGAACGGTTGTCAGATCAACCTTCCATAAACCGTGTAATATTTTTCAAACGTTTCTAATGGTTGATGAGAAGTTGATGTCATTTTTGTTTTCTTTTTAGGGATAATTTCAGAAACCTCCCCCAAGGTTTCTGACAATTTCACTAAGCTCTACTAAAGTTTAGAAAATTATAC